TCTTTTGAATAGATGCATTAAGAATTCATACACAAACTGTTCTTCTCTGATAAAGAAAATAAATTGTAAAACAGCCATGCTGATATAATTGAGGCAATATATGCTATGGTTTCTGACTGTGAAAACTTCAGGGAGAATGCAGATCATTCTTTGTCCCATTCACCAGTGAAAGGCCCTTCTTGCAGAGTCCAACTCTCCATTAGACAGCAATTTTTGTTTGAAAACAGCTAGTGCTAAAAGCCTGAGAGGCCACTGGCTTTTACAATCTCCCTGCTCATCTAATCCACTTTTTGTGTTTCCAATGTCTGAATCAGTGGTGGGAAATGAAATTGCACATTATATTTTTTTTTTCAGTCATGATCAAGGATTTTGAAGTTTATATCAGTGACTAAACTTAATTTCCTGATGTATCACACAAAGTGATGGTGTTGAAGACGGAAGTTAAAATGACCCAATACCCTCCTCTCTCAATATAAAATATAAAGAGAAATAATGGAAATACAGTACTGTTTCCTTACTAATTTAATAACAGCCTTGTTTTAAATTTAGACAGTGATATTTTCTGGAGTCATGTTTATTAAGTTTTCTGTACTGAGAGCTGCCCTGCAAAAAATTCTCCAGGTTCTCAAGGCTAGGTGGTGGTGAAGCACTGAAGCTGAGCCAGCCAACCACGAGGCTCCCTTGTGGGAGCACCTGAATTATCTGCTCCTGCCTTCCATCATCAAACAGGCCCAGCTGCCCAGATTTCACAGTGCTGGGCAAACATAACCACAATGATTATGTTGCTCTTGAGAGTTTGGATGGCAAAAGCCTTGATTGTCAACAGCAAAAGCCTCTCTTTTGGTATCAGCAATGCAGGGGAGCTTCCTGCGTCACTTTCCCTCTTCATTTCATGCAAATACTCAGAGGTCCAAAAGTAAAAAGAATAGGTTTTAGTTACTAAACCAAGATATCAACAGCTAAAGACTATTTATTTTGCGAGACTGAACCTGTCTCTTTATGAAGGAAGAAATCCTTGAATTAAGTTTCTCAGTGGTCTCTTGGTTTGTGATTCTGACTAGTAAGATATGCTTTCTTGCAACTGTCTCTTCTTCCACTAGATCTGTTTTTGAATTTTGAAAAAGATAGAGCATTTTGAATTTTGCTTTTCTTTTGCGGTACTACTATCATATAATTTTTCTGTCTGATCAAAGATTACATGGCTCATTGCATCTATGCATAGCAAAAATTTGATGTATAATTCCTGTGAAATTTTCTATAGGTCAGAACCAGCACCTTTTCAAAATGTATTCTGTAAGGACTTGCTTAAAATAGGTGATTTTCTCTGAAAGGTGACCTTAGCATTGCCCTGGCCTTTATGACTTTGACTTGGAAATCAGTATTGCAGAGTTCAGAGAGCATGCTTTATTCAAAAATAGTTTCTTAAGATGCTGTAACAGCCTCAGCAACTGCTATTTTGGGACCATTTCATTTAAAATTAATCACTTGTGGAATTTTCAGCAAGTACATTTCACAAAGAATATGACTGAGTCTTTTTCATTTGTATATGAATATAGACATGTTTTTGCCTATTTCTTTAAAGAAGATTAAAGTCTGTCTTTTTTTTTTCTGACTAGAGTAAGGTCTTGTGAATTTATTGCCTTTATTGGGATAGGTGCTGGCATTTAAGAATCTCACTCTTAGGTTTTAGGCTCTATGTCTAAAGAACCCCCTTTTTTCAAATGTTTTCTTCTTTTGCTAGCTTTAAGGTCATATTAAAAATTATTGCTTTGCCTTGTCCAGTTCCATTTGCTCTAGAAATTTTTAGAAATGTCTAAATTAGAAATGACTATTTAATCTTCTAATTTAGAAATGACAACTGAAATTTTTTCTGGGATTTCAAAATTCTGTTAGCAATTTGACTGAAGTCTTCTGCACCTTGCAGATCTATTAGCCAACTTGCCTATTTTTGCTGCTTGATGGAAGTGAGGGAGACCTGGAGAACTTGAGAATCTGCTTTAGCAATGTTATAGCTGTATCTTTGATATCACACATTAAACAGTGTACAAAAACTGAGTGTTTGACACAGCAAACATTTTCTGGTTTAGATTGCTGAAATTTTCCTTTTCAGGTGAGACCAGTACCAAGGTAGTGGTTTCCATTAAATTTATATAATCTTAATAGCTTGTCTTTTTGCTAGATTTTTGATGATAAGATAGAATTGGGTTTGAAGGTTAAAGGTTTTTCATCCTATAAGTATTAGTTCTTGTTTACTAATAATGAAATTTATAGTCTTGGATCATTATTCTTGTAGATGTGAAGTGCCATGTATGAAAACTGTAATGAATTTACTGGTAGTTTTTATCAAAGCTATACTCACAGAAAGTATTATTTTCCTATTTTCACCTGTTTTGCTGCCTTGTTTTTTTTTTCTCCTGAGATAAGAAGTTAGAGTAATGGTTTTGCTTTTAGAAATACCCCTGCAAAAGTAATAAACCTTAGAAAAGGGCTCTGGGATAATTAAGGGAAACAATATTGTTAATTAGACATTAAAACTAGTAGCAAAAAAAACACCCAACAAGCTCTACAAGTTAATACCTTTATTATTTTAGGACTAGAGTTGGCCCTAAGGTCTCCCAAAGAAGTATTAACTGATACATTTCTCACTTGCCATATGACAAATTACTTGCAAGTTTGTTTTACTTGAATAGCCTTCACACTGGAAGGAGAGTGTTGATGTTGATATTTATTCACTTGTCATTAAAGTTGTACCTCTGAAATCATCAGTGTGTTTGAATGAAATAGCTGGCTTAAACTCCTGTCCAGGCTTTCATGTGCCAGGGCAATGGCTTCAGGGTAAACTGTGAATAGAGCATCAATGAACTTTCATAATCAGATGGTGCCATTTTCAAGAAATTCGATTTCCCACTATTATTTATAATAAGCCAAAAGACACTGAAACATATGGAGGTGAAATTTCTGATGTATAGACCATGTACACTCAAATGAGAGGCCAGGAGCTGAGGACTGAGGAATACAGCACATCACTGTAAGAAAGTTTTCAAAGGAGGCAAAAAGGAAAAAAGTGTTTGAAGACGAGATAAAAAGAATAGAAAACTTCTTCCCATATGGTACCTGAGAGATTTGAAAGCAGACAAAGTTAAAAATCAGTATTCAAAATGTCATTTTGTTTTTCTGATTTTTGTCTTTGATCTTTGAAGGTTTAGGAAAATATTCAGGGCTGACTAACTTCTCTAGTCAGCTGACAGAAAAATATAGCTATGCTTGGAACTGCGTCATTGAGGTTTATGAAGTTTCATCTTATATTAATCTGAAATTCTTCTGTCAGTGTCAACCTTGTAAATGTCATATGTATAAAAAAAAGGATTAAAATTGTATTTATAAAAATAAAATATTTTGAGGTAGGAATATCTGTCTGAAACATTCTGTGTACCTCCAACAGCATGAAAAGGTAAATTGCCTCATTTAAGGAATAAAGTCATGTAAATGCTATAAGAAGCTCTGCCACTGCAGTTTAAAATCTATCAAAATTTAGACATTTAACATAGCAATGAAAAACGTTTGCTCTAGACATGGTTGTTAAGTCTCTAGAGATTTTCACTTCTATGTAATCATTTTTGTAATGCATACACACATGGAAAGCTATGATATAATCAGTGAGGCTTTGTAAAATACATGATATTCACTTAGTGTAATAAAATAAAAGCTAGAAGGAGAAGTAAATTTCCCTTCTTTTCTGAAATGCCTTTTTAAAATATTGTTTTCATTGCCTTAAGAAAAGCAAAGGAAATTATGCAGTATGTAAAGTACAGGAAGAAATCTGAATCTGAGGAGTGACAGGGGAAGTATATTCTACATTCTAATGTTATATATTCTAGTATGTTCAAGAGATTTTATTGATTTGATTTGGTTTATATTTTTGTAGATTGTATAGATTTTTATTATTGTTTTAAGGTTTATAAATGAGTTTTGTTATTATGCTTGGTGGGAAATGGATGAGCAACTCAAATATTGGTAAGGAAATATGTGATGTCTCTATTACATTACTTGTCTGAACTCAGGGTGTGATGAAACTTGAAGAGCATGCATGTAACATCCCTCAGTGTTTTTCCCATTTTCCTTCTAGTCCAGTTTGGTTATTTCAAGTTGCTCAAATGATGAACGTGGTTTGGGTTTTTTGTCTGGAGCAATGCTTCATAATTTATTTTGCAAATCATGTTCACAGTGGGTGAAGTTCAACTGTAGCTTTCTATCTGAAAAACAAGGCTGACTTCAGCTTGTGGCATAAAGTACAAAGTGTGATAGAAGTGCAGTTGATAGAAGTGCATGCCCAAGAGGAGCAGATGGGTTAGGAATTAGGAGGTGAGGTTGGAAGGATACTCAGTGTGAAAGGCAGGAAGAAATCTGGTATCAAAGATGTTAGGAGGCAAGCAAAAGCATGGGACCTTAAAATAAGGCAGGAAATTAAATAAAAATAAAAGCATTGTGCTATAAATGAAGGGATAGAGAGCAAGGGAGATTGGAGTGGTAGGGAAAACACTTTAGCACTGAGGGAAACTGAATTTTGTCAAGAGCTTAGCCATGAGGTGAAATTTGATACACTGGTAGCCCGTATCTAGGTATCTGAATATGCCTTTACAAGTAAACTAATTTTTAAGTGGGGGGGAGGGTAGAAACTTAGATTAATGAAGTGTTTTTCTATGGACATTTTACAGTAGTGTAATTTTTAAAATGTAGATTAATATTGCACACTTAATGCCCTTGTATTACTTTTTATCAGTCTAAGCCTAAAGAAAAAAGTTCTATGTTTCACTGCTAAAACAAAGCTAAAAAACGAAACTAAACTAAAATAGAATAGCCAGTGCTTTTTTTCTAGGCAGTCTGAGGAGAAAAAAATGCTGATCTCTTCCATGGAAGAACAATATGAATTGCCTCAGGGATCTGAAGAATAGTGAGAGAAAACTTACTAATCTATAAATACCTTTTTTTTTTGTTCTTAGGTTCAGATATTGTTCAATGGTTAACGAAGAACTTATCGATAGAAGACCCAGGTAATTTCTCTTGTTTTCTCATCTTAAAACTATAGTTTGTTTCTTAAAGACCATTGGACTTGATTTTAATTTGTGCTGCAGTGGGAGTGATGAGACAAGATCTGACCAATCTCAGTAGCAAAACAGACATAAAATCTTTGAAACTTTTACTAACATTCTGAGGATTTGGATTATCCATTTTATTTCAGCAGGTACCAGGAAACAATATGAGAATGATGATGATAGTTCTTTGATTAAAAAATGTGGTTGAGTCCATGGGGAATTTACTCAGTGTTACGCTAAATATTTTGCTAAATACATGCTCTTTTCTTACAGAATTTTTCAATATATAAAACATAAATAGAACTATGAAAATACATTCTTGTGCTGTAACCAAAAGCTAATCTTACATTTGAACACTTCTATAGCCTCTTAAATGGAAAGTGAAATGCAAATAAAATTAGTGAAATGAGGAAATGAGGAAGAAAAATTCATTGCTTGATCAGCTGTGTTGGGACATGGAAGTAAGGGTTTGGTTCCAAACTCTGCCATTGGTTTCTTGTATGCCCAGCAGGAAACACAATTTGGTTATTGTATTTAGCTATTATTTACTTCCTGGATTTACAGGAATCTAGTTACCTGATCAGAAATTTTACATAAAGGAATGATTTCTATTAGAAAATGCTGAACTGTAGAAACAAAATGTTCTATGGAAGTTCTCGTTCTCTTTTGGTTAGAGGAAAAGTAATCTTCCTTATTTAAAAAAATTATCAAAAAAGCTTTTTTCCCTTGCTTTCTTTCAGGATTTCTTTTTCATATTTTTGGGGGTCATTATTGTGTTTATTTTTAAAATGTATTTTTTTGTCAAATCAGAAATCAAAGTATGATCATTGTGAAAAGCAAAATCACTGTATTTAAAATTGCGACTTGAGCAACAAAGAACTGTCAATACATAATTTGATATTTGGAAGTAGTCAGTTCACAACACATTGACATGTTACGTGAAATGGGTCGCTACATCTCTATCTGACTTTGAACCGTGTCGAATCTTGCTTCCTGGAGATCATGTGAAGGTTTCAAGAGACCTAAGTGTGATATTGCATTTCTCAGTTGTTGGCTACAAAACACTCACCTATTTGTATTTACCGGGGTTTGAAAGGTTGTTAGGCTATTATTTGATGTTGAAGCTTAACCTTTATTTGTCAAACCAGAAGTGCAATACTGGAATAGGCTGACATTCAGATTACCTGCTTGTTGCAAAATTTGAAATAGTAAAAGCTTCTACTAAACAGAAAACATATCTCCTTGGTTCCTTATGTTCCTAACCAATTAAAATTAAACAAACGCACAAACTACTAACATATGTAAGCAAAACACTACAGTAATTTAACTGAAGTTGGGTTTTATCCTCTCAGATTACATGGATGAAAAAAAAACTGTCCACAATGATGAAAAAGTCTTATGTATTTTGGTCCTAGTCCAAAGTCAGCTGTCTGGAGCTGGTTAAATTCAGATCTTCAGAAAACAAATAGCCCTAAATGCTTCCTTTGGGTAATGCTCAGAATTGCCTGATGACACCAAACTTGACAGATGGTGAGCAAGAGCTTTTCACATGACAGAAATTCTGAAAATGTTCTGTTTTTTCAAAATCCATGTGTCTGGCTTTTCATTTCAGTTCTGGACAATTCAGTCTAGAACCTTGTATGGAAAAGCCCTACATTTCTGCAATCTGTTGTCACCATAATTTGGATTTCTGGTGTCTTCTGATCACTTTTAACCTGTGTGTCAGGGTTTAACCTGGTTATCTTTTAAAACTACCCCGTAGGATCCTGTTACAAATAATTTGTGAAGCTATGCAGTTTTGTGATGCAGAAGTAAATCATGCCTTGGTTTGCACTGAAAATTGCCATCTCTGCCTAAATCTGATATCAGCCACATACCTGGAAGAACAACATAAAGTAGACCTTGGGACACATATTTTAAGAGTATATTCTACTCTGTCCAGAAAAATGTAAGGACTATTTGCACACCTCGTTGACCAGTGCTGTGCAACTACTCATGCAAGCAAGGCCGGTAAATTATGATTTAAGGGGTAAGTAAAGAGATTCACAGAAGGGACCTCAGGTTTGAAGGGACCTCAGAAGTTCATGTGGTCCATACTTTCATGGAGAGGCAAGCCTGTGTGAGATTACTGAGCACTCTGTCCTGTCTCATCCTGAGCTCTGCCCCTGATGGCAACTCCACCACATCCAGTGATTGTTTGTTCTCACTGTAAAAAATGTGAATAGATGAAACCTCTCTCCATGCAACTTGTACCTGTTGCCCCTTATCCTCTCAGTGTGGCTCCCTATGAAGAGAATTTCTGTCCTCTAAACACTGGAAAAATGTGAGGAGGTCCCACCTTGAGCCTTCTTTTCACCATGGTGAAAACATTAACTCTTTCAGTCAACTTGTTCTTTAATAAAACATAGTAAGAAGAAAGTGATGCTATCACACTTTATATATAAAAAGTAATATTTTGAAATGCAGTTTTTCCCTTTGTTTTGCATAGGGAATGCAACTCCAATACCATTTAAGTGGGAATGAAGTAGGCAGCTTTATGGATAGTGGGAGAACATAAGGCAGAAGAAGGCCTTTTGAACATTGCTTCATTTGGATTTGAAGCAGCATTTGTTTCAGTGTGTTAATAAGTGTAAAGCTTTCACCTGGAAGCAGCAATTTACAGTAAAAAGTAGTAACAAGCTGGAACTTGTAAACTGCCAGTCAATAAAATCATGCAAATTTTTAATAAATGGAAAATATTATTAAGTGAAATATTTGAAAGATTGAGGCTTGCTGCAGTAGATCTCCATCAAGAAAATAAACTGGAGATGAAAGGTGGGTTCTGCTAATTTGTACCAGATTTGAAGTTATTTCAGTGGAGCAGAACTTGTCCCCAGAATAGCTGTGCATGTAATGTAATGTACAGTTGCTGTTACATTGTTTGCTATTCAGTATGTACTTAAAAAATGTTTGTGTTTCAGCCCACAACTCATCTGTAAAATTTTAAGGAACAGACATTGTCCAAGTTATTTTAATGGGGAAGTTTTATTCAGGCATAAATATAAGCATGATCTCAACCTGAAAAAAGCAATTAACTGAGTTTACTGAATTGTAAGGGCTTGTGGTTTGGCACTTAGACATGTGTGGTTGAATTGACCATTACAGGATAAGTGCTGACTCTTCACTGATGTTGCCAATTACTCGTAATGTGGAAAATCTACTCTGTTTTTCTACATTGTGTTTTTCTTTTTTGAAGTGATCATTAATGACATTAAATGCACCAGACTGGCCACATCAGATACTGAAGTTCCTATAATCCTTAGTGAGAAAAATAGAACAAAAAGGGTAGATGAGCTGATTTAAAGGTGTCAGCTCATATTGCCAAGAGTCTAATCCTGTACTTGGTTCCTGCACTGATTTCTTCAGTGCCCTTTCAGCAATCACTTGATTTCTCTATTCCCTAACATTCAACATCCTAATAGTAAATCATGCTGTTGTCTCCTAGAGGAGAAAGAACATATGAGTTTTCCAGTCTTTTTACAAGGAAATGGTGTTCACAAACACTCATTTAATCTTCAAGTCATCCCATGAATAATTTTCATCTAGATGTCTCAGAAAATGCCTTTAAGTGTAGATAATACATTTAGACATAATCCTCATGTTCCTTTAAAGTACCTTTATGCCTGAGTGTTGCTTATTGAATTTTCTCACAGCTGCAAACCAGCTGAATTTGGCTGGAGGCACCTCCTTATGGAATGGTTGCTACAGCAGAACCACTGCAGCTGTTCTAGAATGCTCAGCCTCTGCTTTCACAGTGCTTTGATCCAGCTTGTTTAGGCAGTCTGTTAAAGTATTTTGCTACTGCTCTTGGACAGCAGAAATTACACTGAAGTCAAAAATATATATGACTAAATCTAGGTTTTATAGTTATGAAAAAAGGCTACCTTGATATTTATGCCATCCTGTGATTTTTCAGTTTTAGTTCTCACCATTTGTAGCCTCTTCATGTAACTGGTGTAACTAATTTGTAACTAGATGTCCATCAGCGTGCATGTGAACTGTGGTCACTGATCCAGTGCTGTAAAAACGGGAGGGCTCAGTAGCACAACGTCTGTTTATGCTTCTTCCAGTTTTCCCTCTTTACTTAAGTCACTCCCCAGCAGCTGGTGTACTAATAATGACCTTGAGAATACACAGTACTTGCTTGAAAGAGTTAGAAGAAAAATGTTAGGGGTTTTATTTGAGTTTATGAAAGTTTACTTGAAAAATTGTTCAGTTCTCAGTTTTGTCCTTTCACCAATTATATGCAGAAAGGTAGCAGCAGAGAGCAGGAGCCAGACAAGATGTTCTAAACAATTGCCTTTTGGGAAACAGCACCAGAGAGCTCCAAGCAAAGGGGAGGTACTTCCAGAGATTGCTAACAGAGAAAAGTGTCTCTTATGAGAAGGAATAAAGAAAGGAATGGAAAGGTCACGCTTATCTTTGCAGACTTTGCATTAATCAAAACCTGTACAAGTGGAGCAAGAGTAGAATGCTCCCCTTTTATTATCTTGACTTTAAAAAAAGAACAAACAAACAAAACCCCAATAAGAGTAATTTATACTGCCTGTGCATATACCATACCCCTCATGCTGGGAACCCAGGGACACCAGAAACTTTCATTTTTCATATGCCTGATAGAAATTCAGGCACATTTTGTTCGATAGGAAACCTCATGAACCTTTGTCAATTCTAATGTAAGTAACTTCCCAGCTTTTTTCTACTGGGTGAATTTGATCTAAGCTTGTCAGATCCTGTAACATTTCAATGGAATAATGACTTTAATCTCAGGTGAACAAAAAGAAAATAGAACAAAATTCTGTTTGAGAATGGAAAATATCAGAATTTACAGACAACACTTTAGTACCAATAATATTAACATTGTGATACTCATGCAAAAAATGTATGGATCAGGTTTTCTATAATTACAAGCAGCATAG